ACATACCCGATTAGTTCAGGTTTTAAAGAAAATCATTTAATATTACTCCTACGTTGATATATCCACCGGCAGCTCTTGTCTTTCATATTGCAGAGATCCAAGAATCAAAATAACTGTGACATCCTCAGAACTCAAACAAGATGTTTGACTTCATCACAATCATGCATTTTATAAAGAGCCTTAACAAATGTGTTTTCTTTTCTCTCCTGCAGGGATGTTCTGGCTGCAGCCAAGACAGGAAGTGGTAAAACGTTGGCCTTCCTCATCCCGTCTATAGAGCTCATCTACAAACTCAAGTTCATGCCCAGAAACGGTATTCCTTGTTTTCTACCTGTCCACAATATTACCTGGCTTAAGCACTTTCCCACTGAGGGGCGTGTTTGAACAGATTTCAGAGGCAGCGACATTTGAAGAGGTGCATGTGTGCACACCGCTTAAATCTCACTCTCCTGTTTTCCTCTCAGGCACTGGTGTAGTGATCCTCTCCCCCACGCGTGAGTTGGCGATGCAGACGTACGGCGTGATGAAGGAGCTGATGGCTCACCACGTGCATACCTTTGGTCTGATCATGGGGGGCAGCAACCGCTCTGCTGAGGCTCAAAAACTCGCTAACGGCGTCAACATCCTGGTGGCCACACCTGGCCGTCTGCTGGACCACCTCCAGGTGAGATTTATATATTCACATGGTGAACATGCTCTATGCTTTAATACATAAGACAACATTTTAAACCAGAGACTTGTTTTTTTTTGTGTTTTTTTTCTCAGAACACCCCTGGATTCATGTACAAGAACCTGCAGTGTCTGATTATCGATGAGGCCGATCGTATCCTTGAAGTCGGCTTTGAGGAGGAGCTGAAGCAGATCATCAAACTGCTGCCTAGTACGTATCTGTTGTTCCAAACCTCTCTTGTTTTTGTATATTTTAGTTTAGGCAAGGGGACAATAAAGGCAGATGTTTTTAAAATAATGGTCAGGATCGGTTCTTTCCCACAGCATACCATGGAGTTTCATACTTTCAGTTTAATAGAAATCAGTATAACCAGAGCCTCCATTCTGTATGCAACAGGAAGATAAGGTTTGTGCCCCTCAGTTACTCTGAGACTTCTAGAGAACCGTCTAATGAAAAAAAACCTTTTCTTATGTGAGGCCATTTATTTGATATAAGGGATTAAGGTTTTCAACTGATGTCAAATGTATGTTTAGGCTGTAAAGGCTCAAAGGATGGCAAGTATCTTAAACTATTCCAGGATGTGACAACATAAAGGACAAAGACAAAAAGAAAAACGAGATCATTCCTATTGCAGAGCTTTAAGGAGTTCAACACTTCCTGCTCTGGGCCCCTGTGGTCAAGTGTTTGGTGCACGCGCTCCACGTTCACAGGCTTGGGTCCTCAAGATCAGGCGCCCTGGGTTCGACTTTCCCCACTCTCTCTCTCTGGTTTCTGACTGTCTTATCTCTAAAATAAAGACATAAAAGGCCCAACGGTAAACCTCCTGCTCTCTCTGTGACTCACTGTGTGTCGTCTCCTGCTTCTGTTTCTCTCCAGAGAAGAGACAGACGATGCTGTTTTCGGCCACTCAGACCCGTAAGGTGGAGGACTTGGCTCGAATCTCCCTGAAGAAGGAGCCTCTGTATGTCGGCGTGGACGACAACAAAGACAACGCCACAGTGGACGGCCTGGAGCAGGTCGGCTTTCTTTCTGTTCTGTTCTGCAGGTGTCGCGCTGAAAACGTTTTCTCCTGGAACGTCCTAATCCCTCTAAACCGATCTGTGTTTGTGTTTCAGGGTTACGTCGTGTGTCCGTCAGAGAAGCGCTTCCTGCTGCTTTTCACCTTCCTGAAGAAGAACCGCAAGAAGAAGCTGATGGTCTTCTTCTCTTCCTGCATGTCGGTGAAGTTTCACTATGAGCTCCTCAACTACATCGACCTGCCTGTGATGGCCATCCATGTAAGAGACAAAAAATGAGATTTTGTTAGTCTGAAAACACAAACGCAAGTTATCAAGCGCTTGCCTTGAAGCCTCTGTACATCCACACAGCTGTCACGTCACGTCGTCGTCCCCTTTTTACACCTCCCAGCCTTCATATTGAAGGTGAAGCGTCACAGTAAATAACTCGCTTTGAGACGGCACTCTGATTAGGACTCCTTAGAAGACGTCCAGTCATGGTCTCGATCACTAACACCTGTATGGATGTTCAGAGGCTTTAACAGGCTGAGGAGGTGACCTCCCACAACATAGGAGTAGCTTGTTTACCTCAATCAGAATTTATTTAGAATTTATTACTGTAAATATTATTTATCTTATTTTTACCTCATTTTATTTATCTATTTTACCTTATCTTATTTTACCTCATTTTATTTGTATTGCACCGCGGACGGAGACACTGATTCCACTGTGTGTCTGGCATATTTTGAAATTGACAATAAAGTTGACTTTGACTTGATCTGTTACTTTGCTTGTGTAACTGTCATGTAACACAACTTTATGAAAGTTTCTTTAAGTAAAGCTGCTGTAATGTTGAAGATTTTCTCATTGTGCTTCACAGGGTAAGCAGAAGCAGACCAAACGTACCACCACCTTCTTCCAGTTCTGCAACGCTGACTCAGGGATCCTGCTGTGTACCGACGTGGCCGCTCGAGGGCTCGACATCCCCGAGGTGGACTGGATCGTCCAGTACGACCCCCCTGATGACCCCAAGGTATCAACATGGAACAACGGCTGAATAATTCATGATAAAAAATGCATCGTTTATCTCTCAAGTCTTCAAACGAGACGGATTCCTCAGTGACTCAGATTTTAAAACTTTCAGTCTTGGAGCCACTTGACGACTTTAAAGGTCTTATTTTTAGTTTTGGAACTAAGGCACAGAGTATGACTCTCACTTTAAGCTGCTCTTTGCGTCCACAGGAGTACATCCACAGGGTGGGCAGGACAGCCAGAGGCATCAACGGCAGAGGGCACGCACTCCTCATCCTGCGACCAGAGGAGCTCGGCTTCCTCCGCTTCCTCAAACAGGCCAAGGTGACCGTCTGAAAGTGTTTGAGTTTAGATCCACAACCTTTCACTGAGTTTGCTTTGTCCTGTCATTTATAGAACATGTATGCTATACACGCCATTTTGATACACAACTTCTCGTGTTTCCCCCCCCCAGGTCCCGCTGAGTGAGTTTGATTTTTCCTGGAGTAAAATCTCTGACATCCAGGCTCAGGTATGAAACCTTAGATCGATGTGAAGACATTGAAGCAGCTTCGTCGTATCTGTAAATGTTTGGAACGATCTCTTGAGTCTCACCTCGGCCCCGTTCTTTTGCTCGTCAGATGGAGAAGCTGATTGAGAAGAACTACTATCTCCACAAGTCGGCACAGGAGGCCTACAAGTCGTACGTGAGGGCTTACGACTCCCACTCGCTCAAACAGATCTACAGCGTCAACACCCTCAACCTCCCCATGGTGGCGCAGTCTTTTGGCTTCAAAGTTCCTCCATATGTTGATCTGAGTATCCTTTACAATGATCGTAGAAAAACGATGATGGGTTTAAATGTCAAATACACAGATATGCTATTTTTTGGGGGGCCAATTTTGACTTTATTTGTAGAAAGCACAGCTGAAGAGAGAGTAGGGAATACATGGAGCACTGGGCTGAGGCCTGATTCATTCAAAAAAGAACAGCTGCTTTGAGGACTCTATGGTCTGTGCACTGGGGGCGCCAGACTAACGAGTTTCCCACGAGCGCTACTTTTTGTTAGTCTCAAGTCAAATCAGTCATCTTTGAGTACTTTCTTGTTTCTTTCTTGCAGCCTGAAAATCAATTCCATTATGATGATTTGGCTCTCAGTTATAGGGGTTACTGCCCTTTGTGATGTCACAAAGCAGGGCTCAAAATACGCCGCACCGTGGCGGATCTCCAGCGTGAGGGGAAAAAACGAATAATAAAAATAATTACATGGAAATTTGTTACGGATGCCCTCAATGAGGATCGAGTCAATGGAGTTCACCTACCAATGTTCTGTGAATAACGCAGCTCTCATTCTCAACCGAATCAACGTTGCTAGCCAATCAGAAACAGAGTAGGGTGGGTTTTGGCAACACTGGAACTGTGGGATGTAGCAATACAGCATGTTAAGCTAGGCATTTAGGACAGATGATCAAGTAGGTGCTCGATGTCCCTCAGTCTGTACGCCTTAAAACATGTCGCAGGTCAGCACACTATGAAGGTGACGAGAGAGAGAGAGAAAATCTCCAAACGGCCTGTTTGAGCACACATTTTCTTAAAACTGGGGCAGGCTAAAGATGGACTTTTCTCATGATTGGGAGGGTTTGTAGACAGACTAGAGACACATTTTAGTGTATTTTGTATAATATGTGACTTTTCTTAAGGTTCTGTTTTTCCCTTAACTGAACTCTTCCCTCCAGACGTCCACAGCAGTAAAGGATCAAAGCTGCAGAAGCGAGGAGGTGGAGGCGGGTTCGGATACCAGAAGTCCAACTTTCACAAATCCAAAGTCTTTAAACACGTCAACAAAGGAAAAGGTGACAAGAGGCAGTTCAGCCGCTGAAGCCTCTGACACAAGGACTGATTCCTCTTTCTGTGTATTTAAAGAACGGCTCTTTTATTACATGAACTTCCTGCTTCCAACAGGGTGCAGAGACATCGTTAGGGCCCTGCTTTATCCTATCAGATGTGTCCATGTATTCTGTAAATGTAAACATTGTAGAGGTAGAAGAGGCTTTAAGAAAAAGGCTTAATTTTCTATCTTTTCTTCTCCTGGTTGTTGTATTAAATCTCTCATGACTTTCAATGCATGGAGTTGTTTTTTTAAATTTTTATTCAGAAGTCACATGACGAACACCCCGAGAGGAACTTATTCCCTCGTCTTTATTACGCAAGTCAGATTTCATGGCATCTGCTGTCTGTACATTCCTGCAGAGCTCCAAAACGCTTGTCAAAAATCTAAAACAAAAAAAAATGACAGAAAAAAAGAAAATACTGACACACAAACATGATCTGAAATAATTATATACAAATTGTATTTTAAAATCATTCACCAGAACATGATTATACAGTCACCAGATGTTCCCTTTGAATGCTGGGAAATCTGAATAAACGCGTGAAAATTCCCCCAAAAATGTAAAGTCATGTCATTTTGAATCAAAGTGATCTTTAAAGATGATCACTAGTGGCTCAGATTGATCCTTGACTTCATGTCATTTTACATTTAAACCAGGGACACTTTTTTTCTTCTTCTAGCCCCCCCTGGTGGCGAAACTACTGTTAGCTTTAAAAGGTTTCAAAATGGCTTCAGCTGGCTGCTGCAGCAACATGCCATGATGGCTGAATGCTATTCTCTCAGCTTACAGACACTCAGTTTGTTTTCACTGCTAACGGGCTCAGATTGTTATTTAATCTGTGACAACATTAGAGCAAGGATGGAGAAATACTTTCTGTCAAAGGTTACGATGCATTGTTTGAGATGAAAGTAGTGTTGTAGTCAAGACCGCACCAACCAAGACCAAGACATACCCGAGACCAGAGTGCTCTGAGACAAGACCAAGACATTTAGGGATCAAGACAGGCCAGACCAAAGACCATAAATATCACTGAAAGATCCTCTTCTTGTGTGCAGGGGCGTGTCACTCACTTAGACTCAGTGGGGGATAAAAATCTAAGTACAAATGTATTGAAGTTATTTGATCTTTTAAAAAGAGGCGTTTTCCTTCTAATCACAGTGATGACGTTGAAAAATAGCCCATCAGTGGTGGTCTTGATTTAAAATCCGGAGTCTGAGACAAGACAGAGTAAAAATGTTTTCGATTCCGAGACGAGACCGATTTCAGGTACTACACTAGATGAAACAAGTCATTCAACCTTGCACAAAATGGGAGTTGCGCGTCTAACTGTTACCTTGATATGTTAAGTTAGTATGTGTTGGAATGTGTTTCACAAATATAGTTAAGGGACAGGACTTTAAATAATTTAACTGATGCCGGTTAAGTGGTAAAGCAGCAACTCCTGTGTTCAGCAATGTAGAGCGACTCATTCAAAAGAAGAAATACAAAGGCTGCTTGTTAAAATAATAATCTCTCCTCCACCTGCAGCTCTGTCTCTGCAGAGAGTTACTTTAATAAAATGGTCACATGTAGAATAACAATCAGAACAACACTTTTAGTGGACACTGTGCAGCTTTTCTCCACAGGATTAACATTGCTGTCACTACAGTTTCATGCTTTAGTCAAAGCTTGATCCAGAGGGAACTGGACTGGTTGCAGATGTTTCACCTCCCCTCTAAACCGAAGAAGCCTTTCTGGTGAAGAGAGGTGAAACATCAAGATCTTCAACCAGTCCATTTTCCTTTGGATCAAGCATTAAATCTAACATGACCTGGATGACTGAGAACATACACAGACAGTTTAAAGGCTGCCGGCTCAGACAACTTGTGAACCCACCTACTCGTCACTTAGCTTCTAAAATGTGCAAAAACAGAGGCCGATTTAAAAGTTCAGTGTCCCCCTTTAACTGCTTGCATATGTGGACGTCTGGCATAATTTAAAAACATATAAATCCCTTTCTTGAAAACAGTCTAGATAAAAACACTCCTCCCTTTAAAACAAAAAAAAACATGCAAGACTCTCACATCCATCCTCTCACAGGATAAATGATAAACGCTGTTGAGAGCCTGCATAATGTCCGCTCGTGTCAAACAGTTCTCCTTCAGTCTTCTTAATCCGAGAAGACTTGAAGCTCATTAAAAAGATCCAGTGGTTGATTATTTTGACCCAAATGTGTCGGTCTCATTCTTCATTTCATCCAGAGACAAACAAACTTTTTTTTAAAAGACGTACGCTGAGTGGTAACCAATTCCAAGAAGTCCACTTTGGGATCTCGAATAGTAGAAATCAACACTGCAGTGTAGAAATGGACAAAAAAAAAAAAAAACAGCGTGACAGTGATGATGTACAAATATGCAACTCTTTCCTTCTGGCACCTGATTTTTTTTTTCTACACATTACTGTACAAGAAGGCAAATTCATATTGTGCTTCAGACACAAGTTCCCCTTTTTGAGAAGGAAGACAAAAATGTACCAAAGAAAGTTTTCACAGTTGTTTCAAAAAAAATCTCTTCATTCAGCTGGCACTTTAAAGTTTGACGACTTCACTTATGTGAAGCAGTGCGATGCTACTGCTAGCAGGCTACATATCACTCCAAGTGACTTCATAATCTCCCGATGCAGCCGCCTCACGTCCTCTACACACTGAGCATGTTCCCTCTTTTAGTGTTGCTCCATAACAATCGTCCGTGTTCCCGTGAAGGTCTTGTAGCTCGGTTACTGATTGTGATCTGTGAGGAGGAAAAAAGATTTTCAGAGGAAACACAATACAGATGTATTTATAGCCAAACTGTTTTTTTTTTTTTTTTTAATTCTGGATGCATTCAAGTCCAGAGATAAAAGTTTTCAACAAAGAGTCAGCAAAACCCCAGAAGCTGTAGCTCTGTCCTCGCTGAGAGTTGAAACCCGTGCAGTTAAACTTTAACATGCAGTTTAAAAATAAAGCTTTGTGCGAAACTGGAACTGTTAGCGACGTCAAAACAAGCGCTGATTTAGCAGAAAATGATGCCCGACCTGCCCGACATCAGGGTATTTAACAGACAGACTTCAGTGAGCTGAATGCAAACTCACTGAAAAGAATTGTGTGACATGAGCAGCTGAGTCGATGACAGAGAAAGAGCCTGTTTTTTGTAAGCAGGAACAAAGGAGGAAACATGCAAACAGTGTGTGTGTGGACCGACAAGGTTAACTCATGTGATGTGAACAACTGATTTGATATGACGGCAAAGATGACACTTTCAGAGGCTTTTCAAACATCTGTGTAAGAATAGTTCAATCTGTGTCGGTCCAAACCTTCTCCTCTCTGTGTTAGTAACACTCAGAAATGTGACAGTCAACCCCCGTTACAACAACATGAACAAAGTTAGTGTCAGAAACACAGAAAGCTCTTGGCATGCAGCAGCAAACGTCGGACCTTAGGGGTCTGCTCTGGTGGGAGGAGGAGTGGGAGGGACCCCCCAGGGGGTGCTGTTCATCTTCTTTCCTAAACCTGTCGTCAGTGAAGAAGAAGAAGAAAGCATCCAACATGGATCAGAGTCAGACTCC